ATCTGTGATCCCTTCTTGCCTCATACAGTATAGATAATCACATACTCTAATAAATATAATCAATCTGTGATCCCTTCTTGCCTCATATAGTATGGATAATCACATACTCTAATAAATATAATCAATCTGTGATCCCTTCTTGCCTCATACAGTATGGATAATCACATACTCTAATAAATATAATCAATCTGTGATCCCTTCTTGCCTCATACAGTATGGATAATTACATACTCTAATAAATATAATCAATCTGTGATCCCTTCTTGCCTCATACAGTATGGATAATTACATACTCTAATAAATATAATCAATCTGTGATCCCTTCTTGCCTCATACAGTATGGATAATCACATACTCTAATAAATATAATCAATCTGTGATCCCTTCTTGCCTCATAAAGCATGGATAAAGCTGTATGTGGTTCTTTGTTCATTATTAGATGCTAAATGTAAATGTCTTATACTATCAGCTATGACATTAATAGTGCTTACAAGTTGGATTTTGAGGTTAAAAAAGTATTATCCCAGGTTTGAAATCAGCAGAAGGATTTGTACAGCATAATTATTTTCCTAAAGGAATTCAAGCTTCTAGAATATAGCTAACAGGGAGGAATGAAATAAATTGGCAATACTCTATTCTCTGTGTCAGTGAAACCTTACAATACAGGTACTCAGAATAAAACACCAAAAACTTGCATCATCTAATGGACTTGCTTCACTAGTATAGTGTAATCTAAAGTTATGAAAAACTCATCCTTAACACTTACATTTAGCACAATCTTCAACAAAAAGTATGAGAGATATTTACTGGTGCTTTTAAAATATTACATCTGGTTGTATTGATTTTTTTATGTAACAACATAATTCATTCTTTCTAAGTGCAACATGTTGCAGAAAAAGCTTCTTGTCAAGCATGGTTAAACACAATTCTCTTCTAAAATACAAAAGAATGGGAAGTTTTTTAACAAGTCAAAACAGTCCCTGAATAGTCATAAGTTCACTCTAATCAAAGGGTTTTGGAGTTTAATCTGTATTGCCAATAAATCTTTACAACAGAGCCTATACAACTTGATTCAAGAAGCATAAAACGTTCTTCAAAAAACTCTAAATAAAATCTGATCTGGTTGGTAAAAAACAGATTAAATAAAAAAAAAGATAAATCATATCTGAGACAAAGAATCTGCCTAGGTTTTAACATGTTTTTTTTAATGCGATTTCCAATAAAACAGTATGACTTGTAAATGTTAACTAATATATTGAACAACAATACAACTTAGCAATAAAGTTCAAGTCTTTAAAAAATATCAATAATTTTACTGCAGTCAATGATATTACTTTCTCTTTTAAATTTCACCAATGCAGTTTTTGTCGGCCTAATATAGCTTTTAAGTCAGAACAGTTTGTTTTTTTACATGGTTTAAACATCTGTAAATATCGATATCTATCGCCAAGAGGGAACAATTTGAACTCTCTTGTTGGCTGTACAAAACTGCTGACTCAGTTTAAGGAAAAATATGCTATCCGTAGTTAACAGTGTGTAGTCATTTATACATAATGACCAATAAGTCGACAAAGCAGAATAAAAAAAATTTATACATCAAACATTTTTAGTCCCTTCTTTAACAACATGTGAATTACTGCATAATCCAAACCATGATATTGTTGTTATTAGTAAAATAATGCAGGCTTGTGAGGGACATATTATAGATTCATATATAGTTTATACATTAATATACTCCAGAATTTGAAAATCTGATATCATGAAACAATACAAGCCATGCATGCTTGGTTCAAAACTCAAGGTTAGATCACTGCTCTGTGCCCAAAGTAAGTTTTTAATATATTCTTGGACAATTTGTAATCCTTGCAAATCAGTTATAAACAATGACTTCAGCTGGTCTTATTTAACTGAAAATTATTTCAGTTCCATGGCTTAGACTGGATGCAACTGTATCCCTTCCCTCATTAAAACATAGGGAAGTAAGTAGCGATTCTGTTATTCGATGTACATGGTGCTTGTAATGTCTTACTCACCACAAATAATCTTATATTGATACAATAACTCTACAATTGGTAACCCTAAAAGTTATTATACATTGGATGGTGAATTTGAGCTTTTTTGTTTATTTGAAAACGTGCATTTAGTTTGAAGCTACCAAAAATAAGAATAAAAATTGTAAACTCTGTTTAAAAAGTGTCTTACTTGGTTGCTCAGTATGCTTATAGACTGATAGATATGTTCATCCATATCTAAATGATTGAATTGAACATACCTTTCTGTATGCAACAAATATTTAGTTTTTTCAACTTTAACAATAATTGAAGATGGCTATGATATTTTGTGACCTCTAACAAAACATTTCAGCTGGTTAGCAAAACAAGATTTTTTAAACAAAAAGCAAATGTATCATCATTACTGAGAAGCATAATTTAAGATAATCTAAAACTGAGTTTACACAAGGTCTTTAGTGGTGTGTTACTATCATGAAGAAAGTGTGCATTCTTAAAGATCATCAACTGAGTTTATGCAAGGTCTTATGTTGTGTGTTACTATCATGAAGAAAGTGTGTATACTTAAAGGTCATCAACAGTTGAGTTTATATAAGGTACCTGTCCATTAACCTTTGGCACAGATAGCCTAGTTGCTTTGTGCCAAAAAATGCCAACCAACCAACCATTAACCTTCTATTCTTATAAAGGCAGAGATGTTGCCAAGCACTGGCACACAGGACCCGTGCCCAGAATCCCCAATTGGTGTCTTGAAAAATCAGAATAGTAAACCATGATTGATATCGTACTGAAACACTGAAAGTTCCCGTGCTTATGGGCCTGAGCCCCAAATCTTTTAAGCACCTAGCGATGCCTCTGTACAAAGATAATTTTTGAAGTATATCTATTAAACTACCAATTTATGAACCACACTACACTACACTTAATTACAGTTATATCTTACTGTTCACTTTTTTTTCACACACTTCAAACATTTAAAGTGAAAAGAGTAAATACTAAATGAGCCATGCACAATGCTTCTTGTTAAATATATACACAACATGCATCTATATTTAACAAAACACAGACAACAACTACGTTCTTGAAACAACCATCAATCGATGCCCTAATTTTTTGACAAGTAGTTAAAAAACAAAACAAATATACATATTTCTTTTGCACTGTGTGGTAAATCACTGATTTCTTTTCAATGATATAATCCTTATATTTTTTATGTAAAAAGAAAAAAAGAACCAGGACAGATTAAAACTACTGTCCACAAAGATGTGATGTAGATGATTGACAGAAAGAAATTTCTGGTCCATGATGTGAAGATTAGCTGAACATAATTTGTTTCTGAACATATTGAGATAAATGTTGAAAGGATAGAAAATATGAATAAAAAAATCTTCAGATCCTGAGCTAAAAACTTTAATAGGGCAGAATAACCTTTAATGAGATCATGCACTGCTTTCCATCACAACCTTGCCATCTTCCTCTTTGCTGCCTTATTCTACAAGGAGTTGCTTACAGAGTTACTTAGTACAGTTCAGTCTTTGTCGCTGGGCAAGCTAACCAGATCTTCAACTTTTGGAGACTTACCACCTCCTACAAAACTCTCTACACCAGAATCTGGAGTAAGAGGTCCACTATCGTGACCTTTGTCAGTGCTTGTGTTTGCTAGTTTTGGCACAAGGTTTTCCTTCACTTTTTGTAAGGTCACCAGCTGTTCCCAAAGAACTCTGTTCTGGTTTAACAGAGCTGGATAGTCTTCGCAGAAGCATTTTTCTGAACTGATTTTATTCATCTTTCTACCCTTGCATTTGCCAATTTCTTCTTTCTCAGCAACATCTTTAACTCTGTTATGTTTTTGGTTCTTTAAAACCTGAATGTCTAGCTCTAGTTTTGTCTTAGACTTCTGCAGCTCCTCGAGTTTCTGCAGGTTGGAACTACGTTCAATTTCAAAATCCTAAAAACAAAACAAATGTAGTTATTTTGTAACTCCTATTATCAAGCAAACTTTTTTATTTCTGTTTGTTATTAGCTTACAAATACTGATAAACATAATTAGATCTTCCTATAGCAATGGCATCCCATCACTGTCACTGGAAATCAGTAATATACCTTAGGTGTGCCACTAGTTTTCCATACACATACAGCATCATCACTTGTGATGGAAACAAGTCTGACTAAACCTATTAGAAAACAATGCAATTTTTATAGAAAACAAAAGGAAGCTTTTTATTCCATACAAAAATACATGTATCTAAAAATATTACCAGAGGATGTGAGAGATAGATAAGCCTAACAGCCTCTTTTACAAGTTTTTGTTTTAATCTGACAACTTCTGCACAATATTTAAAAATAGATAAAGTAAAAAGATTCACATTTCTGTATAAATCAGTAACTGAAACATGTTCATACAGAAACCCATTCCATGTGATTGCAGAAATCAACACATAATAACAAACTTTACAATCTTCCAAAACAATTAGACTACTTAATGAATCTACATACTTGCCACTGCTCAAACTGTGCAAAATGTAACTTATTCAAATACATAAGTTGTCCCTTACTGTAAAATACCAGCTATTAAGAACATTTATTTACCTAACCATGTGCTATCACTCCAAACCTATATCGATGCAATAAACAATGTGTATCACCACTCTGAACTAGTGCTGAAACAATGAATTATTTATCATCACACTAATTATGAAACAATGAATCACATGTATCATCGTGCCACACTACTGCTTAAACAACAATTATGTGTATTATCACATGCAATTTCCTTTTGTTGCAATAATTCATTTGTCATGGCATCATATATGTAGGCTTAGTGGATCTTATAATCTCATGACAATAATTTGATCTTTTTAACATTTAGTTTTAAGGTTCAGCTCTAGGAAAACTGTGATATTTCACTCTTCCATAATTAGTAAATAATATATGTTTATATAGGTAAAATCAATAAATTTTTCAAAATTTATGTGCACTGTTCTGCATGTAGTTAGTGACATTTATGTAACCAAAATGCACAAAAAATGGAAACTTACTGTAATCCTCTACCTCAGACAAAGATAAATATAACAATGATTGTTCAGTAGGCTTATAGTTGTTTCTGTGTCACGTCCTCCTGGAGTGAGGTCGTGCACCATTTCATGGGTGATACAGACTTGTACAAGATATTATGAGTTAATGGTTTATCTCCTTGGAATATTTAACATAAGTACATTTACCGATGTAGGTAAGCTAAGGATATACGAGATACTGCATTTGGATCTTGTTCTGTCTTGAAAGTATGGTATCTTCAATTTTCTTGATTTCATTTTTGTTATGTGTGGACCTTTTACTTTCAACCTGTCCCAGCAGCCAACTGAAGTTTAATTATGAATATAGAAGCTGGCCAGTACATGCAAAGGACCCATACCCAAGTTCAAACTCACATTTTATTCTCTGCAAAACAATATTTCCAGAACCTGCTGTACTGTAAATACTTACAACTATCTACTGGAAGTCAGGGCATCTGTAGACCATAACATTACACCATGCTAAAACAATGAATTGTATATATTATTACACTAATTGAGAAACTATAGTTAAATTGATACAGCTGTATTGTAAGAAAAAATTAGACAACTTAAAGCACGTTAGTAATAGTCATAATTAATGTTTCAAAACTAACCTTTCGTAAACACTTTTGTTTTAGAACAATTTTAGCCAGGTAACCACAATACTTTGAGATGATGTTTTCTACTTGAGACATGATTTTCTGCTGTTCTTCTTCTTGAAGCTGATAATTCTGAAGCAAAGCACCGAGTTGTTCCAGTTCTTTACTGACATCAACACCTTCACTTAAGGTGTGGTCTTCACTACAAGTTGCATGTTCCTCTACTTCTGGTTCCACTGAGGAAAAAAAATGAATAAAAAGTAAACAACAGGCTACTGAAATTTTAGACTATAAAAAAATATTGTCAAAAATACAGCAGTGCAAATTACAAAAGAAAAATAAGCTGAAGGAAGAAATTATTCAAATTTTGATGAGTTTATGAATCTGTAAAAGAAATTTATAAATAACTGCCTATTTTAGGAGAGATAATCATGCAAAATTATCAGTGTTTTATTTTCTAAAACACTGGTTTGGTTTGAATTTCACATAAAGCTACATGAGGGCTGTCTGCATTAGCCATCCATAATTTAGCAGTGAAAGACTAGAGGGAAGCCAGCTAGTCATCCCCACCCACCACCAACATTTTGGGATACTCTTTTACCAATGAATAGTTGGATTGGCAGATGGGTTTTAATTATAATAAATGCAAGATAATGCATGTGGGTTGTCATAATTTGAATTATAAGTATAATTTGGATGGGAATAACCTTAATAGTGTTATGAAGAAAAGGGATCTTGGTGTAATAGTCGATCAGTCTCTAAAACCATCCAAGCAGTGTGCTGTTGCTAGTGGTAGGGCAAATAGGATTTTAGGTTGTGTCTATAGAAATATTGAATACAAGTCTAAAGAGGTTATACTTTCATTGTACAGATCACTGGTTAGGCCACATTTGGAATATTGTGTTCAGTCTTGGGCTCCTTACCAAAGGAAGGACATTGAATTGTTGGAAAGGATTCAGAGAAGGGTTACTAGAATGGTGCCTGGGATGGAGGGGTTGTCATACGACGAGAGGCTGAAATCTCTCAAATTATTTTCTCTTGAAAAAAAAAAAAAGTTAAGGAGGGAT